TAGGGGTAAATCTAGGGGCTTTAATTTATGGCATAAATAGACTATCAAGCATAACCCAAAATGCACAAGTAGTGGAAGAGAAACCAAATGACTGGGACCTTTTAAAAATTAAATTCTTATGCACATTGAAAGACTTTTTCAAAAGGGTAAAAATAGAACTTATAGATTGGGAAAAAGTATTTGGCTATGATGTATCTGACAACAGACTCATCTCTAAAATTTAGAGAAAATTTCAACACCTCAACAACCAAAAAGACAAAAATCCAATTCAAAAATGGGCAAAGGATATGAACAAGCACTTCACTAAAGAATATATATAGCGGCCTACAAACAAATGAGGAAATGCTCACAATCATTAGCCATTAGAGAGATGGAAATCAAAACAACAATGAGATTTCATGTTACTCCAGAAATAACAGCAAAATTCAACAAGACAGAAAATAACAAATGGTGGTGAGGGTGTGGAGAGACTGGGCCTCTTATACACTGCTGGGGGGACTATGAAATGGTACAGCCACTATGGAAAACAATATGGAATTTCCTTTAAAAAATTGAAAATAGAAATACCATTTGATCCAGCAATTCCATTACTAATATATCCTAAAGAGGTGAAAGCCAGGACACAAATGGACATATGCACACCCATGTTCATTGCAGCACATTTCACTATAGCAAAGCCCAAGAAACAACCTAAGTGTCCATCAACAGATGAGCAGATAACCAAACTATGGTACATTTACACAATGGAATATTATGCTACATTAAAGAATAATGAAGAATCCATGAATCATCTCACAACATTGATGAATTTGGAGGATATTATGTTGAATAAAATAAGTCAATCACAGAAGATCAAATATTGTATGAGTCCCTGTATTGTAAAAAGTGAAAGAAAGGTTTACACAGAGAAGGAAATTCACTTTGGTGGTTACCAGGGATGAGAGGGAAGGGGAAGGAAAATTTTGGACTAGTTGGGGGTCACATGTTGATTTGGTTGAGGGGATGGGCAGTATGGCAAGAGTGTATGAACACCATGGTGACAATGGGGAAAGGAAAGATACAGAAATGTGCACAGAAGATATACACAACAGAGTCAAATATTATTACATGCACAATACTACATTACCAGTGGCAGCAAACACCAGGCTATGGGTAAATGCAAAGACAGATGAGATGATCAGGTGAGGGTAGGTGAACAGGAGTATGTTTAAGACCCAGGATATATCTGGCTACAGAGAGTCTTACAAATATACTCATAAACAAAATTATACTCATATTACAAAATTATCCACATATATCACAGAAGTAACAGGGGACAGGGTTGAAGTAGAGTTTCAGAGAACATCAAATACCCTGAGGGAGAGAATCACTGGGCTTGTGGGCTCAGGACCATAGTCTCGGGGGGACATCATGCTCAACTGGCACAACATAGTACATAAAAACTTTGTACTACAACCTACTTTGGTGAGTAGTGACTGGTGTCTTAACAGCTTTCGAGCAGCCATCTAAGATGCAACTATTGGTCTCTCATCTGCAGCAGAGAAGAGTGAAGAAAATCAAGTCATTTGGAAACAATTAGTCCAACGATATGACGGACCATGAGGACCTCAGCCTTCATGAACCTGATACCAGAAAAAAGTAGATGGTGCCTGGTTACCAATGCCAGCCACATGGAAATGGATCAAAACTGGAGATCCTGGATGGAGTAGGAGGAAAAATATGGAACAAAATTCAAAATCACAAAAATGACCAGAATTACTGTCAGATAGAGACCGGTGGAACCCCTGAGACTAATGCCCCAGGTTAGCCTTCGGGTACTTCCGTGTATTGGCCCTCAGCCCAATAGTAGAAAGATCTACAAGCAGAACACCTACCCCAGGGAGATGCACCCACTATGATCAATCAGCCATGAGATATCAGAGGGGTAGTATTCATATAGAGGGAAAGCTGGACAGACAGGAATGCATAGATAAGAAGGGCACAGAGAAGGGGTAGTCACAGGGAGGAGAGCTTTTTATGATCAGGGATTGTAATCAGGGCCATGAAATCAAATGTGCATGAACTACTGATAGTAAAATGAATCTGCTTTGTAAATATCCACCCAAATCACAACAAAGAATTAAAAAAAAAAAAAAAAA